GAAGGGTACCGGGGGTCGACGGTGGCGGCGGCGGTGGAGGATATACGGCAGCGGAACCGCCCGGGAGTTCCGCAAAACCGAAAACGTACGCACGCCACACGGTCGCCGAGCGCCACGCTGTACGGACGTTTTGCCCGCCGAACCGGACGTTCACCCTTCACGTCGTATCAGCACCGCTGATATTAATCGTAACGATAGCATATATGTGTGCCCTGACACATTATAATATATATATATTTTTTTTAAATGTGTTACATTGCGCACGTTTCGAGCTGTTCACACGTACAGTGACGTAACGTTTGCGAATAATTATTGTGTATTTATTTCACAGTATTGTACCGAGACCCGGCAACAGGTACCTGTCCGAAAATATTTCAGTGGTAAGTAATTAAATYGTTACATAWATAGATTGCAAAAACGAAAACTCAAAAATAACGATATTGTACTCCTATCTAATACACCTAACTCAAACCTAACCGTCACATACATCCGGCGAGGATCGTACGACGACTTGACTGCCGTTGCAGGATTTATGAGATTGTGGGAACTCGCGAATGTCCGCAGTTCAAGTCTTGCGACCGCATATCGTTTTGGAGTATATTCAATGTGTCACGTTTGGTGCATTAATTTGATCTAATCTTTAAAATTCTCTCCCGCCCCCTTCCCTGCAAAAATATTTACTTTTTTTTGTGTATAACATAATATGGTATGATCTATACGTGTAGGTACACCACGTGCAGTGTTRCTCCCGCACTGCAGAMAATCTGGACTGACGACGATGACATYGTCGTTGGCKGCCGGGTAATCCTGCGGTATCGCTGGTATCCGGCGTCGAATCATTATATCAACCCTCGTCGATCGAGATAATAATAAAAATATACATACTGCCACTGTGCAGAGGAGGAAGAGGAGGAGGAGGACCGAGATCAGTGGGTCGAGATCATCAAAGAGTGTAAGACAAGTAGCAACAACAGCTGGTCGAAGATGGTCATCGAACCGGGCCTGATGGACATGCTGGGAAATTCACTGTTCGACATGCTTGCGCCAGTCACGTCCACCGATTCGTCGGCAGTGGCTTCCACCGTGTCAGCGCATGGTTCCGGCGACGGTTCCGGTGGCCACGGCGACAGATCCGGTGCGTCCGTCGACGACGACGAAGACGACGGCACTGGGATGGGCGGTGGTTCCGGGGCCGGCGGTTCCGGTGGCATCGGCCCMGGTGAGCTCTGGTACAGGCACAGCCCAGCCATGACGGCCGTCTACTGTTTCGCGTACACCATGGTATTCCTGGTCGGGCTGGTCGGAAACCTGCTGGTGGTGTCTGTGGTCTGCCGGTCGCCCAGGATGCGCAACGTCACCAACTATTTCATCGTCAACCTGGCCGTGGCCGACATACTGGTGCTCGTCTTCTGCCTACCCGCCACCCTCTTGTCCAACATCTATGTCCGTGAGTTCACTCTCTAATTCGCTAAATCCATTTCGACTTAG